TCAGAGATGCTTCAGAAAAAAGACCCAGGGATCTGCTTCTGAAAGGTAATGGTCATGAAGACCCTGTGGGCTACCATTCTACTCTGCAACACATGGGACCTCCATGTTGGAACCAATGCAATGACCATTGGTTTAATGGCTGAGGATGCTGTGGTAGTTAAGGTTATGTGTCAACACATGGGACCTCCATGTTGGAACCAATGCAGTGACCATTGGTTTAATGGCTGAGGATGCTGTGGTAGTCAAGGTTATGTGTCAACACATGGGACCGCCATGCTGGAACCAACGCAATGACAGCTGGCCTAATGGCTGAGGATGTTGTGGTAGGTAAGGTTATGCGTCCACTTGGCTGGGCCTGGTTGAGTGGCTGGGTAGCTGAATGTAGTATTCCCCGGGATGAGACTGGTAATCAACTCTATGGTGGGATCTACTGTGAGCCTTAGGGATGTGGTCTGCTCCCAATATATAAGGAGAAGCTTTAGGAAGGTCTGTAGCTTTTGGAATGTTTGGACCCTGCATGTAGCCGAGTCGTTGTTCAGCAGCCCGCCATGCTGTCTGCCGATCTTGGGACTCTTAATGGACTTGAATCAGTGGCCTGCTGCGTGGTTTGGTAACACTGGGACTGTGCCTTTTTATTTTACTTGTCAACCTTGGGTCTGTCAGCCTCAGCAGCCTGCAGCTGCCTGAGTTAAGAAAAGCCTCCAGCTTCAGTGGGGCGGGAGCAAGAGGCAGGGCTGAAGCCCAAGGTTGAGGGGCTTTCACCCAGCCCCTAGAACTTGGCACTTTGAACTCAGACTTCTAGCCTCCAAAACTTTAAGGGAATGAACTTGTCTGTTCAAGCATCCCATTTTTGGTATCTTCTGTCAGAGTGGCACAAAGTAACCAGAACAGGCTTTAAGCATCTTCTCATGTGCTTGATGGCTGTTTGTATTTCTTCTTCAGATAAATCTCTGTTCAAGTCCTTTGCCTATTTTTTCATTGGATTATTAATCTTGTTGTTGAGTTTTAAGAGTTCTTTATATATTCTAGATATTAAACTCTGATCTGATGTATGGTTTCCATTTTTTTTCTTCCATTCTGTGGCTTGTCTTTTGATTTTCTCAATTTTCCTCGATGCACAGAAGTTTCTAATTTTGATGGAGGCCAATTTATCTGTTTTTTTTTTCCCCTTTTATTGCTCATGCTTTAATATGAAAAGTTTGGGCCTGCCTGAGTTTTAAGCCACAGTCACTGTCAGGACATGGCTCTGTGATGAACCTCCCCAAGTGCACTTTTCCAGCAGTACAAGTGGAGGAGAAGCAGCTGGTCCCACTGCTGGAGTGAGGAATATGGCAAAGGGAGCCTTTGAAATGTTGGGAAAAGTGGATATATCTGAAGTCAGCAATTTGATACAACAGGGGAATTTTACCAAATTTAAAACTTAAATGCTAATTGTCTCTTTAAAGAATTACTGTAGGAAAACTATGAGACTGAGTCTAACGTAGTAAAGAACTTACCAACTATGAGTGTAGACAAACAGAGTTAGTCACCTTGAACTTCTAGGCCTCTCTGAAATAAGAGAAAATGGCAACATGGAAAAATGAATAGCACTGCAAGGTATTTCTTGCCATGGCATCATAGGGATTAATCAGTGAGCCACTGGAACCCTCTGAAAAGGCCTAATCAAGAAAAACAACAAGAATGACTGATGGGCTCCAGACGGCTTCAGTGTGCTGGGTGGGGGAGAATCAGAGCTTGGACATGCGCACAAGTGCCTATCAATTCTAATGAGTAGCCTTCGGCTCTGTTACAGATGGCGGGCTGGCTGGTGCTATGAGCTTACAAAATCCATCTATCCACCTGCCCACCCACGCCTCAATCCATCCATCCATCCATCTATCCACGCCCACCCATCCAATCATCTGACCACCCATCCATCCACCTATCTATATCCTATCATCCATTTACCCACCTACCCACCCATTCACCCATCTATCCATCTATTTCTCCAATCACTCACCCACCCCCTCACCCATCCATCCAATCATCATCCATCCATCTACCCGCCCACCCACCCATCTCATCATCCATTTTTCCATCTGTCCACCTACCCACCCACTTGTCCTTCAGACATGTACTAAGCACCTACTGTGAGCCAGGAATTGTGTTGGCATGGCTCAGTCCTCAATGAGCTCAGGATGTGGTAAAGAACAGTTAACAGGTGAGCAGTTGATTATCACACAGTATGTTAATTACAATGAGTAGGGTGTTGTTGAGGGAGGTCAGGCAGGAACTGTTCACCTAGGCTGAGGTGTGAGAGAGACTTCCTGGAAGAGGTAGTGTGAGAAGAACTTGAGCAAAGACCAAGAGGAGCCTGCGGACCAGGGAACCCCAGGCACTCTGGCGATGCCTAGAGTGGCCAGATGAAAGTCAGGCTTAGGGCAGAGGCCCACCAGGCCAGACTTTATGAATGTGTCAAGGAGCTTGGACCTTGGCATGTTAGTCAGTGTTCGCCAAAGGATGCTCCAAAGAGCACAATTCCTTAAGGTACTCTCAAGAAAAGGGTTCTGGAATCAAGAGAGCTGGAGAAAGATATGCCCCATTCCTCTCTTGGAAAGGAGCTCTAGTGGCACAGTGCCTAAGGTATTTGACTGCCAGAAGGTTGACAGTTCAAACCCTCCACCCACTCCTCAGAAGGAAGATGAAGAACCCATGGGGTCACTCTGGATCTGAGGAGACTCGATGGCATTGGGTTTTTTGGTGCCTCTCTTGGAGAAGACCCACCGTCAGTCACATTCAGCATCCAGTGTTAGTCTGTCAATTCCCCCACATGCTAGGCACGTTGCTCACAGTGGAGGACACAGCCACACTCAGGACAGAGACGTGCCCTCTCACGTGGGCAAAAGCAGTGCACGTGGACGGACAGCCTGGAAACCAGTGTTCAGAAATGAGGCAGCTTCAGGCTGGGGGAAGCACTCCGAAAACTTTGGTGGGCAAGCCTGGCCCACAGAGGGGGTGCTCTGATGGACAGCAGACCAATGAGATGGGTGAGTGCAGCTTGAGGTCGGACAAAAGCTGCCTGCTGCCAGTCCCACTCAGTCACTGGAGGTCAAGCCAGGATTCCACCTGGGACCTGAGCTTGAGTGTCACCTGGCCCAGGTCTCCATGGCACCAGCAGGCCTGGGGCACTGCCCAAGGCCACCCGTTTGGGAGGACAGGCCTTCCTTCCCAGATGCAGAGCCCAAGAGAAACTGAGATGTGGAGGGTTACCTTGTCTCCTCCAGGAAAGATCCATGTCAAGTCTTTTCATGTGACAATTCCTGACTCTGGTGCAAACTCCCTGTTTAACGATAAGGCCCAATGGAGCTGTCCCCAGATGAGTCACTGTCACCCCGTGAACAAAAAGTAAAAAGAACAGGCTGGGGACTGGCCCAGTGACCACGGAGCAAGGAGGGGGAACCACGGTGGGACTGTGGGCCTCATGTGCACCCTGGGGCCACTGCTGTCTATGACAATGTCCCACCATCCTTCCAGGCCAAGTTCTGGTGGCATCAGAAGGTCTTTTCCTGATATGCCATCCTGGTCTTGGCACATCCTGCCAGCAACCCAGCTCCTCCAGGCCCCAGGGTGGAGGGCCCAGGCCCCAGGGTCTTTCCAGTTACTGCTCCCCCCCTCATCCCCACATCTGCTCTAGAGGTACCCTAAATAGGGTACAGGGATGCTAGCCTGCGGCTGGCTGCTACAGAACTTTGGTCCTAATGGGAAGTGGTATGGGCTTGGGGCCAGGGCAGAAACAGCCCTTAGCTGGTGGTTGTCACTGTTAGGTGTCATCGAGTGGGTCCTGACTCACGGCGACCCACGTACAGCAGAATGAAACACTGCCGGGGCCTGCGCCAGCCTCCCGGTCCTTGCTATGCTGCAGCCCGCTGCTGCAGTCACCGCATCAGTCTCTCTGTGGAGGGTCTTCCCTTTTTCACAGACCCTCTACTTCACCAAGCCTGATGGTTCCTCCTAGGAGCTGAGATGACGTGGCACCAGCATGTTCCCTCTTCTCCCAGGGTTTCCTGCACAAGCCTGAGCCAGCCTGGCTGTGCTCTGTGGAGGCAGGAGAGGTCAGGTGGGGCAGTAGTGGCAGTGACCGTGGGGCGGTGCTGAGCGCCAGCACCCACAGGTGCCTGTCCTGACCCTGCTTCCCCAGTCACGGGCCCCACCTAGTGATCTCACCCAGCCTCGGTCACAAGGACCCCCGTTCCCACAGCCCCAGGTCCACCCTCCAGCCGGACCTCTGCACTGCCCTGAGTAAGGATGACAGTGCCACGCTGAGCAGGCTGGTCACAGAGGACAGCACCCACTCCAGGCCTTGGGGGTGATCACTGCCCCTCGTAAGTGACAGCCATGTCACTGTGCTCATTTTATCTGAAGAGCTGGGCCCCCAGCAGTTTGCACGCCAGTGAGGGGCTCAGGCCAAAGCCAAACCCCACCCTCTGCCCCTGAGCTGCCCTCACGCGACCGCCTGCCCCCATCTTGTCCATCTCCCCCGCAGCCCCATCACTCGGTGAACGATTGAAGACAGTCATTATGCCTAATCTGTTTTTCCAGAGCCTAATTAATTCCAAGTCCTCCTCTATTTTTAAACCGATCAATCATTCCTGCCGCTGCTTCCAGGATGGGAAAGTCAAGCTTATACTCCTTACACAGCCACAAGGATGCCTGCCACGGGGTCCAGTGGCCACAGGGACCAGTGGTCACAGAGGTCCAGTGGCCAGGGCCCTGTCCCAGAGAGGTTCGCCGGGAACAGCAGCAACATGCACATTCCTATGGAAGGGGGTAGGGCCCTGGGGCTCACAGTGTGCCACATGTCTCCCCCACCCTGTCACCTCCATCCCAAGGCTGGCCTTGAGCCCAGCCCGTCTTTGTCCTTGAGCTCCCAGGCGGAGCTCAGTGATGGCAGGGGCTGGGCCAGTTCCTTCATGTTCACTTCATGTTCACTGTGTGGTCACACAGGTCACACAGGACATCACCACTGTTCCCGCTGCTCCCACTCTTGGCTTGCTTCCCTTACCTGTCGAGGACCCAGCTCGGGGACAGCCCCTCCTGCCAGCACTGGACGCCAGGCTCTCATGCATACTGGGGGAAAGGAGCCGTGTGGGGCCCTCCGACACAGGAGGACAGAGAACCGCTGGCCCTGAGCCCACCCACTGGGATGGGACACGTACAGTGGTGCCCAACAAAGCAGGTCACAGGGCCAGCCTGCACCTGGGCTGGTTTCTCACTGGGTGTGGGATTCACTGCTCAGTGGCCATTGGTGCTGGACACAGTCTCCCAGAGGATGCTCAGCCTGGGCCAGTCACACACTGCCTCCCACTCTGGGCCAAGTTCACAGGGTCTTCTGAGGCTTGGCCAGGAGGGATCCCGGGTGGATCTCAGTTTTCTTCATATTGGGAAGAGTGGGTGGGGCCTCAGGCTGACCCTGGGCTCTTTCCTACAGGGGCCATGGCTGCTCAAGGGCTACACTCAAGGGCTCGTCCAGGGCCCTGACGGCTTGAGCTGGGTCCCCTCATGGCACCAGGCACAGAAGTCAGTGGAATGACTGCAACATGGAGGAGGGCATGGTGCGCACAAGAGAAGGAACCAAGTAGGGAAAGAAAGCGAGTTTCGATGAAAAGGAAGGATGCGAAGACGTGGCATGAGGAAGCTTAAGCTCAAAGCATAAACCCCATCTGTCTGTCGGTGTAAGGACAAAGTGCTACAGGGCTGACGGGAGACATCCAGCAGTGTAACCAAAGAGGTCACATTAAGACTGACAACAGCAATGGCGGCGAGGGTGACTGAGAAC